GTGGGTAATTTTGATCTATTACTAAGCCTTGTTTTACACTGTTATAAGTAGGTAAGTCTTTTTTGTTTCTGGACATCTTAGTAGTTTGATAGTACTTCTCTTTTTTTCTGGGATTCTATCCTATCAGTAGAATTTGAAATGTCATTTTTATAAAAACTTTTCCAAGCTACTGAAAGCAAAACCCTTTTGTTTATCCATCCTCCTTGAAAAGACAAACTGATTTTTCATTCTGTTAAGTGGATAACTGACTACTTCTGTTACTAGATGATTATACTAAGGTTTTTATATGTGTGGTTTCAAAAAATTTAAGCTCCCTGGTGATTCTGATAATTAGCTAGGTTTTTGAAACCTTTGTGTGATAAGATTTTTAGTTAGTTTTTTGGCGGAAGATATTGTTTTATGTAAAATATCAGCAGGTCAGGTAACTCTTAAGTATGTAAGTGTTTTTATTTCTCATGTATAATTTTGTGAGCCATTTTTTCTTCCTTCATGATAGAGTATGGACATGCATGTGTGAGAGTGAGAGAAAGAGAGCGCACGCACAAGCCCTCTACAAGGTCTGGTCATGCCACGTTCTGTTTTCTTCAGTCTAGTTTATCAGATCTTTGATATTCACACACATGCCAATTGTGTTCAGGCTAACTGGGCTGGAGATTTGAACTGTGATTGCTTGTAGGGTCTGGCTTCTCTTGATCAGTGCATTACAGCCCTGTACTGTGGAGCCTGTCCACATGTATCATTTTAATTGACTGTTAAGGGGAAAGAATATTAACATTTCTTAAGAGTGTAACTTTTTGATATAGTGATGTTATGAATTTATTATTAGTTACTGTAACTTAAATTTGCCTTTAAGATGCTTCTAAACCTTTTTTTAAAGGTATTTAAAGCTTATTAAATTTCTTGGATATAAAACTTTTGCTCCTTAATGGTGTTACAGTTTCTAAATATTTCTTATTCAGTAAGTGCTTTTAAAAAAGTCTTAATTAACATCATTAAATTAAAAAAAAAACTCATTTACATCGAGTGTTTGCCTTTAGTTTAAAAAGTTTGTTCAGTGCTGGCTCTATGACCAGGTGGTTAAGGCAGCCAGATCTAACACCTAACCATGTAGTTTGAGTCCCAGCCCAGTTTTTGAGAAACAGTAGGCTCTTATATGGTAGTATCCAAAAAGGAAGAAGTGAAGCAGGAAAGATTGAGTACAAGAGATTGCAGTATGACCTTAGGGAGCGGCAGTCGGGTAAGGCGGTGTGGGTCCTGTCCTCTCTAGCAAGTGTATGCACCCACTAGCCAGTCAGTCAGTAAATATATGTTTAATGTAAGAAAACTTTTGCAATAGGACAGATTTTGTATGGTAATTTATTTTTTAGTTTTAAGCAAAATACTATTATTTTAGAAACATTGGAAATCACAGTAATTGTGAATCAACTTTAGGTTGTTATCTGCTGAATTAGTGTTGAAAGTTTTGCACTAGTGACCCCTAGTGGTCTTGCAGTTTAAAAAAGTATATGCTGTTAAATATCAAATATCAAGTACTTTTCATGAGATAATCATATACTAATTATTGAATAAATTTAGTTGATACATAAAATATGATCCCTAATAAGCACCTTTGTCAGAATTCAAAAGGTGAAAAGCTCAAAAGCTGTCTTTTGTTTTGAAACTTTTTTTTTTTTTTTGGCTAGAGGATTCATGCACTTGTACAACTTGCCAGAAAGAGAAAAATGCCCCCTACCCCCTCCCCTCGTGGGTCATGATCACACTACAATCCTTTTTCCTCTATTCATCCCTACCATTAGGATTTAGGACTTGCATGCATACAGGCCCAGTGTATTTTTCAAGCCACTGGGGTTTTTCAAGGTGCCAAAATGGGACTTGAACTGCAGTTGGCTCTTTGGGACCTGGCTTTGTTTGTACACACTTAACTGCTAAACTAAGTGGGCAGCCCCAAAAAAGCTATCTTGAAAATCCACAAGGAAATTTATTACTTCAAAGTTTCCATTAGAATTAGATATAGAAACAAGTTTATAAAAATTAGTTTTGGGGGACCAGCAGCTGGCATAATGGTTATACACCAGCGTGAGTTTGAAACCATCGGGTCCAGGACTAGAACTGCCTGCAGTCGACTCCGTGGGAGTCCAGTGATATAACCATTAGACCATCTGCTGATCCCAAAAAACAAAGTGTCTTAAAAATGTGAAATATAATCTATATTCAGAAAGTACATAAGACATAATTTTACCATTTAACTAGTTATTATAAAAAGGATAGCAACAGTACTGCCTCTAGAGAGATCAAGAAGTAGAACTTTTCCAGTACCCTGAAGCTTTAAAGCCTACTCTTTCCATATACCTCATCCTTTTTCCCTCATGGAGGTAACCGCTAGCCTCTTTTAGTGTTCACTTCCTTGCTTTTCTGTTTCATGTTATCATCTGAATATTGCTCAAATATATTATTGAATTGTCTGGAAGGTTTTTTTTATTTAAAAATGTGTCATGACTTTCCCCAAAACCTAATAGTTTAGTTTTGCCTGATAGTAGACTTTATATAAATAGAATCGTACAGAATGTGATCTTCTGTCTCTTTATTTTTTTTCCCTCAAATTATGTAGGTTCATTTGTATTGGGTGTCGCTGTAGTTTGTTCATTTTCTTTGCCGTGTTGGATTTTATTGTACTACCATACCAAACTTAGCCTGTTTTCTTTTAATAATTGATGGATATTTAGGTTGTTCAACTCTTCATTGTAACTGACACTCATGGGAATATTATTTTACCATATCTCTTAGTATACCTGTCTATACATGCATATTGGTTGAGCATTTTTCTCAGTATTTTTAGCCCTAAGGTATTTATATCTTCAACTTTGGCAAGGCAAAATGTTTCAAAACAGGCTGTACCCATTTGCAGTACCATAGGTAGTTTATGAGAGTTTGTTGATTCACATCTTCCTCAACAAATATGAGGAGTCTTTAGGAACTTCGTGGAAAAATGGAAGTAGTTTATTTTGGTGCAACAAAAATGGAAGTTTATGCATAGTTTTGTCATAATACACATTTTCCTTGAACTTTTTTAAAAAGTTTTTTTTTTAAGTTTATTTCTTCTCTGAGTGAGAGAGACAGAGACAGAGAGAGAGAGAGAGAGAGAGAGAGAGAGAGAAACAGCACTCTCAACAGGGTATTGGGAGCCAGCTTCAGTCAGTCCTGAGTCACGGAAATGTACTTGCACAGCATACTCAGGAAGGTCTCTGGATGAGAACTTGGAACCTTCCCATTTGGGTTAACGTTGCAGAGTATCTCATTTTACTGCTGCACCATCTAGCCCCTGTTTTGCTGTTAATAATTTCAATACTTATCTATTTAGATAAGAATTTTTTAATTGTAAAAGATTATTTTACCTCATATATACCTTTTCTGACACTCCTTTTCATTAGCAGATTCAAGTTTCTAACTTCTAACTCCTTCTAGCCAGGTCTGCTGGAGACAGATTCCTCAGATTTTATTTATTTTTTGAAAGTTTTTATTTCCTCTTCACTTTTGAAGAATAGTTTTTGTGGATACAGGATTCTTAGTTGATGTTTTCTTCTAAATAGAGTATGTGCACTCACCAGAAAAGTGGGGTAAGAAAGAAAAAGCACCCTCAGTGGAGCATGGTCATGCCACGAATCCTCCTCTGTTTTTCTGTCCTGTTAGAATTCTGGACATGCACACACATGTACCTGTGTGCTCTCTTCTCAGGACCCAGGACCTGAACCGTGACTGGCCATATGGGATCTGGTTCCTGTAACTAACACAGGACTAACCTGAGATCTTGGTTGTTTTTTGGTTTGGGGGTTTTATTTGTAGTTTTTGGCCTAGGATGCATGCACCCACCAGAGTGGGGGAGAGAGAGAGAGAAAGCGAGAAAGAGAAATCACCTTCACCTGGGGGATGGCCACATAACAGTCACTTCTCCAGTCTCTTGGGATTTTGGACATGCATCCACATACACCCAGTGCGATTTTCAGGTTGGCAGGTCCAGAACTTAATCTAAACAGTTGGCTGTGTGAGATCCAGCTCCTTAACCTCCATGCCACCTGCTGGCCCTAGATCCTTTTTTTTTTGTTTTGTTTTTTTAATGTAAGCATTTGCAGCTGTAGATTTCCCCCTTAACACTGCTTCATTGCATCCACCAAGTTTTGGTATGTATGTGTTTGTCTTCATTTGTATCTGTTTCCTAACTTCCCTTATGATTTCTTCTTTGACTCATTTGTTATGTATTTTGAACATTGATTTGACTTAGCTGGTCTTCTTTACTAGTATATTTCTGTATAGGAATCATTATATCCTAACTTAATGACTTAAATATTCAGCTGAATTAATTTATTCTGATTCTACAATCACTGATATTTTTTTAATTAAAAATTTATTTCTTCCTTGAACAATAGAGACAAAGGGAGAGATAGAATCAGCACCCTCCCCCACCAACTGGGTCTTGACACTGACCCACCCCCGCCTTCAGTCTGTTCCTGATCATGGGCATACTCAGGGAGGTTTCTAGATTTGAACTGGGAATCTCTCATGTGTAATTGTCTCTCAGCTTTGCATCTTACCATCTCAACCATCACATCACCTCTCACTAACCTCCCAGGCCAAAATAGAAAAATTGAGGGGAGTGTGTGTGAAAGCACCCCCTAATAGGGATGGCAACACCACAATCCTTTTTCCATTCTTCTCTGGAGATTTTGGGTATGCATGCACACGCACCTGGCATGTTTTCAAACCACCAGGTCTGGAACTTGAACCAAACAGTTGGCTGTGTAGGATCAGCTGCCCTAACCTCCACGCCATCTGCTGTTTCAAAAGTGATGGTGTTTTCTAACAGATGAATGTTTGGTTGACGTTTCTGTGAATTTTAGATCTTGCTGTCATAAATATAAATGTAGAAGGTTGCACTTATGGTTTTCCTTTTTTCAATTCCCTATGTGTGGTTAAGGAAAAATGAAAATATTCTTTCATATTTTTAGGCCCGGATAGCCTTTCTACAAGGAGAAAGAAAAGGTCAGGAAAACTTGAAGAAGGATTTAGTAAGAAGAATAAAAATGTTAGAGTATGCATTAAAACAAGAAAGGTATGTATTATCTCTTTTCTTAAATGAATACAATAGAGCAATATTATTCTCAATCATACCATTGTACAATGTATTTGAAAGCTTTTTGAAAGGTGTAAAGCCTTGCCCAAATCTAAGATGGTATTTTGACTTGATTTCTAGGGGAGAAGAAAAGAACAAAGGATTAGCATAGTCACATTGAAATAATGTGTTTTGCTCATAGAATTTAAACTTTGGAATTAATTTTAAAAAAAAAGGATCAGAAAAAATTTCTTCATTTGGATGTATATGTTACATTGATCATTGACTTTTTTTTTTCTTTTACAACAGTACATTATTCAATATTCTCTGCAGTTTAAAGAAACATTAAATGTTAAATTTTGATATTGGAGTAATATATTATAGTTGTCATTTAAACATAGGGAAAATTATTCTTTTACTAATTTATTATTAAATTTTCAGGGCAAAATATCACAAATTAAAATATGGCACAGAATTGAACCAAGGTGAATTGAAAATGCCAACCTTTGAATCAGGTAAATCTGACTCTTATGTTGCTTTTTTTTTCTTCTTCTTCTAATACAGTGTCTACACAGCTTTTCCCTTCATGTGTACTTAGCACAGTACTTGGTATGCTGCAAATTCAAGGTTGCTTTTTAGAACTTTGTGAAATTTTTTTTATTGAATATTTTTGATTTGCATTTTGTTGAGTCTATGGGGAGTAGACCCCAGATAGGAAAGGACAAATGTAGTTTCATCTACATCCCAGTCTTTAAAACTCTGCATACATTTTTGTTAGTAATTAAAACTGCAAGATAAAAAAGGAACTGTTTTTCCACCTATAAACAATTCTTGTCCTATTCTATATAAGCTTAAGTTTTTGTTGTTAAAAAGTTCATTTTTATCTGGAGAAGTTCTTATTAACTCATTTTAGTCATAAAGTTAAAAATTTCACTGGATTTAGAAGCTATAGAGGCACCCAAGTTAAGGATAAGAGAGAATAAAAACTTGGTTTTTACTTCAATATTTAATTCTTAGATGTTGGCAGAATCATACTATACATACAGCCTGTGTCTCCATTTTTCAATTTTAGTAGCAGAACCATTTATTACATCTAAGTTTTCATGCGAGTGGTATGGGTTTTCTTTTTTTCCTTTGGATAGATTTTTGCTATAGGGCATGTCTACTCACCAGAAAGACAGAGAGACAGAAATCATCCCCGGGGGGGGGGGTATGGCCACGCCACAATCCCTTCTCCATTCTCCTCTTGGGATCTTGGGCATGCACACACATACCCCCAGCATGAGTTTAAGCCATCAGGTCTGGGACTCAAACCACGGTCGACTACATGGGAGTCCAGCAACATAGCCATTATGCCAACTGCTGGTCCCGAGAATGGTATGGATTTTCTTTGACTTTGCTTTTATGTGGCTATAAAGGCTCATTCTAGTGCTACAAATATTATGATCTTCTTGAAAAGGCAAGAATAAATGATAGAAAGGTGGAAGGTATTATATATATATATATATATGTACACACACACAAACAACCCTACAAATATTTTTAAAGAATTATTTAATTATTTAATTGTATTTATTATTTTTTATTTTTAAATTTGACCAGAGAGAGAGAAAGAAAGTGAGACAGCAAGTCACCAGGTCTGAGATTCGAACCATGGTCAACCATGTGGGAATCCAGTGACCTAAATACCATACCATCTGTGGCCCCCTGACACCCCCCCACACACATATTTTTTAAAAAGTTCATTGGGCCAGCAGGTGGTGTAGAAGTTGAGGCAGCTAGATCCCAAATGGCAGACTGTACGATTTGTGTCCTGGACCCAGCTGCTTGAAAATCACACTTGACCCATGTACATGTGTGGCATGCCTGAAATCCTGAGAGGAGAATGAAGAAGTGATTGTAATGTGGTCATTCCCCCAGGGGATGATTTCCCTCTCTCTTTTTTTCTCTCTCCCTTCTTTTTGGTGAGCACACATGCCCTATAGCAAAACTAGAAACAAACTTCTTGAAAAAAGAGGAAGAGAGAGTGCAAGAGAAACAAGTACTCTTGCACAACAAGTTTCACTGTATGTTCCCTGATCCTTCTCCCAGCCACCTGGGATCATGGGCTCAGTGACAAACCTGGTGTGTTCAGGTTGACCTGGCATCTGAAATCAGGAGTCCTGTTGCAGTTAGAAGTACAGTGACTTCTCTAAAAAAAAAAATCTTACTGGAGATTTATTTTTTAGAACTAGAGGGCTGTCCACTTGGTCTCTGTAAATGTGAGGATGGGGGCTAGTTGCAGCCACGTTGTTCCTGGAGTAAAGGTCAGGGTAAGCCACAGTCAGAATTGACTAGCAAGTTTCAGTTCAACAATGTGTGTAACACAAGATCTTTAGTAGATAAAGCTCTTCTGCCCCTTACCAAAGTTTCATTAAACAAGTCTGTTTTTATGTGCATGTTAAGTATTAAAACTTTCTCATGTTGGAGCTGGTTTAAGTTATGGACCCAGTGGCTTGAAAATCACACAGGTGGTTTGAAGGTTAAGGTGCTGGGCCCCCATATGGCAGACCACGGTTTGAATCCTAGGTGACTTGCTTTCTCACTTTCCCTTTCTCTCTTTTTGTCTTTCTCTGGTAAAAATTGAAAAATAAATAACAAAATATGAGGCCAGCAAGTGGCATGGTAGTTAAAAGCGCTGGACTCCCACATGGCCGACCATGGTTCAAGTCTCGGACCTGGTGGCTTGCTTTCTCACTTCCTCTCTCTCTCTCTGTCTCTCTCATCAAACTAGAAAATAATAATGATGATAATAATAAATAAAATAATTATAAAATAAATAAATAACAAAATAAGTAAATCTTAAAAAACTTCCTCATGTTTAAAAATAAAATAATATCCAAGTGTTTTACTTACAGCAGACCTAAGAACAAAGTAGTGTTTTTGCTGATGTAGGAAAAACTATTCAGGGCATTAGTGGAAAACAAAAACACCATGCACACAACATTGGATAAGCTTATTTACCTTAAAGTATGAGGTAAAATGAAACAGTGTTGTCTTTTATTTCCTCCTAAATAAATCAGTGTAAGAAAGAAAATATAAAATACTAATTTGACAGAAGTATACAATATGTGTTTATGCTCCTCTCTCTGTAATAAAAAGAAATATTTTGGTAAACTTACAGAAGGGATTGTACCCAAATACATTTATGTACTTCAGGAATATCCTTAGGGGCCAGCAGGCAGCATGGAGGTTAAGGCACTGGATCTCACATAGAAAACTGTTTGGATTAAGTTCTAGACCTGCCAACCTGAAAATCACATTGGGTGCATGGTGGACTGCACGGTTTAAGTTATGGACCCAGTGGCTTGAAAATCGCACTGGGCGTGTGTGCATGTGTGCCCAAAATCCCAAAAGGAGACCAGAGAAGAAGGGATTGGTGTGTGGACACCACATCACTCCTTGTGGGTGATTTTTCACCTGCTTTCTCTCTTTCTTTGGCAAGCACATGTGACCTATAGCACAAACTAAAAAAAGAAAAAGAATATGCTTAGCATTATTTATAATAGTGAAGATATAAACTAATTTCAACATTATTGGGATGGTATAATTAAATAGGTATTTAATTTCTGTAGAATGTTACATAATAATTTTTGTTAAGTTTTTTTCCATAGGGTGCTTGCATTTACCAGAAAGAGACAAAGAGAGGGAAAGTGAGAAGTTACCCTTTAGGGAGCCATGCCGCAGCTCCCTCTTCTGCATTCTCCTAGGATTTTGGGCAGTCATGCTTATGAACCTGGCATTAATTTCAAGCCAACAGGTCTTGAACCACAGTAGGTCGTATGGGAATCCAGCATCTCAACTATCACGCTACCTGCTGGCCTTGTGTCATTTTTACATGATATGAAATCTATGTTACTGGGGCTAGCAGGTGGCATAGTGGTTAAGATATTGGACTCCCACATGGCCGGCTGCAGTTCAAGGCCAGGATCTGGTAGCTTGAAACTCAAGCTGGGCATGTGTGCATATGTGCTCAAAATCCCAAGAGGAGAATGGAAGAGACAGGATTGTGGCCTGGCAATCTCCCCCTTGGGGGTGATTTCTCACTCTCTCTCTGTCTCTCTCATGAGTATATGTGTCTTGTGGCAAAAACCTTAAAAAAAAATCTATATTACCCTAGAGAGAAAATTCAAGATATATTGAGTGTCAAAGGCAGATTAGTGTACAGTATAAATGTTCACTCATTTTTTAAAATTACTAATATGTATATTTTCAGGTAAAAACTATGGAATGATAAACTCTCAAATAATAGCAATCAGTTGTTAGTGATAGGATCTTAAGCAATTTTATTTTTAATGTGTTACACATGATTTTTAAGACACTGGGTCTGGGACTGAACTGCACAGTTGACCATGTGAGATTCAGAGCCTTAACCTACACATCACCTGCTGCCCCATAGTGTTGATTTTTAATAGCTTATGTAAATTACTTTCTAATCTCAAAGATAGTCAACTCTAAATTCTAGTAGTTAAAAAAATTAATAATAATAATAACAACAACGTTTCATCCCAAAGGCTGGGTCATGAATCCCTGATTGTAATAAATGTACTTGTTATTTCTAATGTTAAATGGGGAGGATACTGATTGGGTTATTCGGACGAGCACATTTAAAATAAGTTATTCCATTGTAAATATTCAACAGAAGTTTTTTCTTGTCCTTTATATAATACTTAATATGTTTTTGTCAGAATGTATCCCTGAGAAATCTTGGACATATCCTCAAGAGTTGCAATAATACATATATATATATACACAAAAACCTTCTTTTTTCAATTTTTAGAAGAAACCAAAGATACAGAGGCTCCCACGGCACCTCAGAATAGCCAGTTAACGTGGAAGCAAGGCAGACAACTGTTACGGCAGTGAGTAATGGTTTATTTTCAGCTTTCTTTAAGGATCAAGATACGAAAGTGCTTATATTGAGTCAGTTTGTAAGTTTAATATTGTTTAATTGTAGTGTGTTTTTCATACTGCTTTTTTGCTTTGTAGATAACTTGGATCTTTTAAAAATTTGCTTTCTTTGAGGGTTTTTTTTTTTTTTGGCAAGATGAAATAAATATGTAAAGGATTTAAATGATGACTTAAAGTTTGACAGAACAAAAACAATGTAGAGTTCATACTTCTAGACCCCTACATTCCTGTCATTGCAAAATTCATACATTGGATTTCTTTTTTAAGTGGAGGTATGATTGGTTCAGAGAAGGAATTTAGCTGATTATCTGAAACTTCAAAAGTGACTTGCCAATTCTTCATTCACTTGGATTTTTTCGAAACCTTTTTGATAGTGGCTCTCTGCCATATTGGAAATTCTTTTTTTTTTTTTTTTTTTTTTTTGGGGCAAATCTTAGTGTCTTTTTTAATCTGTTTTTTATACTTTGAAAACTTTAGTACTTGCGTCCTGCTGATATCCTGGTAATTTAAAATTATTCAACTTTCTCAGCTCTAGACAGCTTTACCTTCACTTCACCCTGTGGAGTGCAATCAGATCCTTGATCTCATTATTACCTAGAACTATTCTGTCTCTGGAATATTCTGTGGTCTGGCTAATTCTGTATTCACCTCTCCCACTCCAATTTCCATGTTATTCGTTCTCTGATCTTACCTTAATCTTTAGATTCTTAATGACTTTGTTTTCCTGTTAACTCCTTTACCCATAATTACTTCTGTTTTTATTTTTCTAGCTCCAAATTAGACTTTATGATTTTTCACTCGTAGCTTTCTTACCCCCCACTTCTCACCCCTTCCCTAGCAGTTATTTTATTAAACTTACCTACAAAGCCTCAGCTCTAGTTCAGTGTTCTGTTTCTAATTAACTCTTGTAGAAAAAAATTATAGAATCATAGGAAGCTATTATATATTTATGGTTTCCTATCCAAAGACTGCAGAGAGCCTTTTTTCATAACTCTGAGCATCTCTTACTCCCATTGCCCCCAGTGGGTATTCTAAACTTATCACACCTCAGCCCATTTTCCATATTCTCTTTAGAGGACCTCAACCTCTACACCACTGAAAATATGAAGGCTAACAGGTGAGAACTCTCTTAACTTTTTGCTTTTCTTTCTGTAAATATATTTAAACCTCATATTGATTACTTCAGTTTCTTATGTTCTATTCAAAAATACATTCATCAGTCTGGACCCTTATTATAAAGACTAGACCTTGAACCAAAGAACAGATTGTTGGTTGGAAGTATACTGGGGTAACTAACAGAATTAAAGGAATTTACCAAACAAACAAATGTCAGGAAATAAGAACTGGGGCAAGGCCTCTCAGGCTGGAAGCACCTAGGATGCACCCTTATTCTTTGGTGTTCTTCTCTTCTCTGTATTAGCTTTATTCTTTTCTACTGAAAATCACCTTTTTCCCCATATGGCAGGAGAACTTCTGTTTTAGTCAGAACAGTTTCTGAAAGATTATAATTAGCTTGACTTGATCAGATAATGACTGATGAGTCCATGCATTTTTTTTTTTTAATTCCATAGGGCATGTGGGTTTACCAGATAGAGAGACAGAGGGAAAATGAGAAATCATTCCCTTGAGGAATGGCCACACCACAATCTCTTCTCCTCTTGGGATTTTGAGCATGATGCGCATGTACTGGTGTGTTCTTCAGGCTGCTGGGTCTGGGGCCAAAACTACAGTCAGCCATGTGGGAGTCTTATTACTTCAACCACTGTGCCATCTACTGGCCCCATGTCAGTCTCTCTCTCTCTTTTTTTTTTTTTTTTTAAGAATTATTTTATTT